TGCCAAAATGCTTTCTATAATCAGCTATAGATAGAATGTTTAGAACAGAAATAACACCACATATTCTATTTTCTTAGAAAAACTGATTTCTGCATAGTGCAATAAAAGAATATAGCCCAAACCAAACTATTAACAGTTGGATTTTTTTTCTACAAAAAAAAATCCATCTTCAAGGTGAAACATTATTTGAAATGGAGAGATTTGTGGAAGATGGTATGGAGGCCAAAGTTATGTAAATGTCTTATGATTGTCTATTGGGAAAGCCCACATGCTGCTGCTTACATTGCCAAAAATATGCAAAAAGAAATATTTGCAGAATAACTTCAAAAACATTCTATTTATGTAGACTTTTGTCACATTCTGTAATTTGTTGTCAGTCAGTTTTAAAGCCAATTAGCAGTCTCCTTTGCTGTGACTCTGTAAACTCAGTGGAGGGTTAGCTGTGAATCAGTTCCACTTAGACAACCACGAATCCATAGTCTAGTCTTAATTATGCACAGGGGAAAAAAAGAATATAACCCAATAACTCTCACTAAAAATATTATTGCCATTAAGTCAAATCCAACTCATAGCTCATGCCCCAAAGAATGTTCAGAGACTGTAAAACTTTGCTGGAGGAGATTGCCCGCCTTTCTTAAGTGGAGCCATTGGTAGATCTGAATCGCCATAGAGACACCACTCGGTTAGCAGAACAAGCACCTATAGGCTATGCCATTATGCCACTATGGAATAATACATCAGAATGTTATTATAATGTGCCATTGAGTATGAATTAATCTATAGCTGACCCTCCACTGGCTTTTCAGAGACTGTATGTAAATCACAGGAGAAGAACCATTATCTTTCTCCTGTGAACCAGCTAGTTGATTTGAACCAGATATCTTTGGCTCCCTAGGCCACCAGAATAGCATATTTAAAATATACATACATGTGACCTAGTGGTCAGAAACTACCCAAAGTCACGCTATTCAAATCCAACAGTTGGTTCATAGGAGCAGGGTGGGCAATCTCCTCCCATGCAATTTGCTGCCTCTGAAAACTTGCCAGAGGGGCAGCTATGAGTTGGTTCCAACTTGACAGCACACAAGTATATAAAATAATATTTAAAGATTCAAAAGCATATATCTGGCTATACAAGTAATTAAAGCATATGGTTGTCATTAGAATACAAGGTTTTTAGTTGTCCATAACATTTATAAGCTATTGTCATTTATATTGAAGATGTTACCTTAAACCACCAAGAAGGAATTTGTCCAGTAACGAGATTTCTTCTGAAGCCTACAGATGTGATATGAATATGTGAATGAAATTTATATGCATATATACCAATGATGTGTAACATCATCCTGCTGAAGAAGGTGAGTTGTGATTACCCTCATTTACATATGAATTGAATAAGAATTTCCCCCCTTGTGTGAGGCTAATACCCCTGACTCTGATTGTCATACATTTTTTTTATGATTACTCAGTTACTCAGGAGACATGAATAATTCTTCTAGAGACTCTATGGATTTGCTTAAGAATAGCAAGGATAAGTAATTTCAACAATTAGAAAAGTACCATAAGGTATTAGTAGCTTGACTAAGAAATACACCTTGAAAGGCTTAATATAAATCTATATGAATGCATGTGAGTCACAGGAAGTCTTGTTCCTGCATTTTATTTAGTGGAGAAGGGGAGAAAACACCAGCCACCTGGGGTCAATCCAAACTCAGCCATCACCTGGTAAAAGGCCAGTTCAAGTTCCCACAGCGAAAACATCCAGAACTCTGCTTATCTCAGAGTCCAGACTCCAACTAACTCTGTCACAGAAAGAAGGAAATTCTTCTTTCCTATAAATAATTAATTAATAACTAAATAAATAAATAAAATAAAATTAAATTTAAAAAATCCATTCATTTCTTGTTCTAATATTTGTGACAAGACAAACATTTATTACAGTTTAGAGAAGCTTTCTACTCTACATTTCTGTGGTCCAGACAGATCAATCCACTGTCTGCAGCATTTTCACTAAAGCCTATGTTAGTCAGCCTTAAATAACATCACCTGTATGTGGGATTCCACCAGGCTAGTCCAGGCAGTCCCTTGCCAAATCCAATTTAGTTCCTAGCTGTGGTGTTTTCTTCAGAAGTTCCTGCATATATATGTGGTCTTATGATATCTTTTGAGATAATTTCCATCACCTCCAGTATTGTATTATTAAAACTATGAGACAGAGTAAAGTCAAAAGCATTTTACAGTATAAATCTGAATACTCACCACCCAAATTCTATTAGTAACAATGTTATCTCATTCCTGTCATCTGTCTTTCTATAAGTTCATTTGTTGCTTGTTTGGTTTTGTGTTTTGTTTTGGGTTGTTTTTTTTTAATTGAAGTACATGCTTTTTCTTATCTGTTCATGTTACAACAGTCTTTATATTTGTGTTCTGATATTTTTTTTGTTTAATGGAAGCTAATTCCTGCTAAGGTGAATGTAAACAAGTATGCATATTGTTGTTAGGTGCCATCGAGTTGAGTGCTACTCATATTTTGATCCTATGAACAAAAGATCTGAACCCAGTGATGTTGCCCTTCTCAACATCATGTCTCTCTCCAAGGAATAGCACCTCCTTAGCAACATATCTAAAATATATGAGGCAAAGCCTCATCATTCTTGCCTTCAAAGAGGTCTCTGACTACACCCTTTCCAAGACATATATGTTAGTTTTCTCGGCCATCCATGGATGTTCAGTGCTCTTCTCCAAAAACACAAACAGCTCAAAGACATCAATTCTTTTTCTGTCATCCTTATTCATTGTCCAGATCTCAGATGCATAGCTAGTAATCGGAGAGACTATGGCCTGAAACAGACACACCTTAGTCCTCAAACTGATCACTACTCCTTAATACTTTGGAAAGATCTCTAACTGCAGATTTTTCCAGTGCAATGCATCTCTTTATAAGCTGATTAACTGTGTCTGATCTCATTTACAATCAGTTTGGATGGGAAGCCTCTTGTGTAGGCAAACAGGATCTTGTGGGTGGGCCTTTTTACTTCAAAGTCAGTCTGGTTCTACCTGTGAATTAGCTTGGCTAGTTGGATCCTGCTGGGTGTTTGTGATTTACTTGAAAGCCGGAGGTAAACTGTTAGGGCATTTCTAATTGGGTTAGAAATAAAATGTAAGCTGATTAGCTGTATCTGAACTCGTTTAGAATCAACTTGGATGGGAAGCCTCTTGTGTAGGCAAACAGGATCTGGTGGATGGGCCTTTGTATTTAAAAGTTGGTCAACTAAGCATAAGTAAAGCAAAAGAGAGTGAAAGGTTATTTAAGGTGCCATGTTGACTAGTATATTAATGGACAGTACAACAAACGGGATGAGAGGTGCTCGGACTTAGCTCTGTGGAAATCTGACTAAACTAGCAGGTGGGAACAGTGGTCCTGACTGATTTGGTTATGACAACTCAATGATGAAGGATCTTTCCCTTCCCTCCATCTTATCAGAGAGGCAGGCATGACATCATCAGTGTAGCTTAAAAATCTAGACTGGTTTAAATTTTTCTTTTGTTCTAGCAATACTTAAACTCACTCAGAGTGAGACAGAATACTCAGCCTATTGAGGTGGGTATTTTCCCCTCTGTCTTCTGAGTGTATCTAGGTTTGTATTATAAACCACTGAACACCTACTTGGTGAGACTAACATAAGACTGGCTTTCCTGGAACTTAGTAGACATGACTAAGACAAGAAACCAGTCTACACCACTAGTCCACAATGTCCTAAAAAGAAAAAATATATATATAAGTGCTTTTAAATTGTGAATAAACATGATTTTCTATTACAAAACTAGTATATGTCCCTCATAGAAAATTTAGAAACTATAAAAAATAATTATTATCCAGGAATTTCAATCCTGTGTGTACTCAAGCAAACTGAAAACACATATCTACCCCAAAATTTGTACAGTGTATATAAAAATTAATCCTAATAATTCACTGACTAATGGATAAATGGATAACAGATTGTGGAATGGAATTTTCTTCAATCTTAAGAAGGAAGAAAGTATTGATACATGGTACTATCTGTTGTTGTTGTTGTTATGTGCCGTCAAGTCGTTTACGACTCATAGTGACCCTATGTACAACAGCCCTAAACCCTGCTCTATCCTGTGCCAATCTCATTGCCTCTGACACACCCATCCCGATTACCCATCACTGAATCAATCCACCTCATAGAGGGTCTTCCCCTCCTGCGCTGTACATTATACTAAGCAATACTATTTACAATAGCCAACCACAAATTGAGATACATAATTATACTTAGCTAGAGACAGAAATGACCTTTACAAAAAAACCTGAAAATCGTTTCAGCAAGAAACAATAAAAGATCTAAATAAATTTAAAAAACTTTCATGTTCATGGATAAAAATATTCAATATAATGAAAATGACAATCCTACCAAAAATAATCTCCTATTTAATGCAATCTCAATATGGATACCAAATTAATTTTTCAAGGAGAGAGAAAAAACAATTCTCAAGTTTATTTGAAGAGGAAAGAGACCAGAATAAGTACTTCTGAAAAACAAAAATAAAGTGGGAGGCATAGCACTCTCTAATATCAAAACCTACCATACAGTTGTAATAACCAAAACTGCATGGTACTGTACAATGACAGGCACATAGAACAATGGAACAGAATTGGAAATCAATAAATTAACCCTTCATCTATGGTCAACTGACACTCAACAAGAAAACAAAACCCATCAAATGGAGAAACAACAACCTCTTCAACAAATGATTCTGACAAAATTAGACTGCTAGCTGCAGAAAGCTGAGGCAGGACCCATATCACACATCATACACAAAAATCAACTCAAGGTGGACCAGAGTACTAGTGGTAAAACCATAAAGATCGGCCGTGGAGTCGCTGTCGCCGCAGTTGCTGCCGTCGTTGTTGTTGTGGTTTGGACGGTCAACACCTCGGCTCCGCGAGCCGCCTCGACCTCCTCCTCGCCGCCGCCATGAAGTGGATGTTCAAGGAGGACCACTCGTTGGAACACAGATGTGCGGAATCCGCCAAAATCCGCGCGAAATATCCCAACCGGGTTCCAGTGATTGTGGAAAAAGTCTCGGGCTCTCAGATTGTTGACATTGACAAACGGAAGTACTTGGTCCCGTCCGACATCACCGTGGCTCAGTTCATGTGGATCATCAGGGAAAGGATCCAGCTTCCTTCAGAAAAGGCCATCTTCCTCTTTGTGGATAAGACAGTCCCACAGTCCAGCCTAACCATGGGACAGC